TCTCTCTCTCTCTCTCTATCTATCTATCTATCTATCTATCTATCTCTCTCTCTCTCTATCTATCTATCTATCTATCTATTTATCTATCTATCTATCTATCTATCTATCTATCTATCTATCTATCAATCTATCAATCTATCAATCTATCTATCTATCTATCTATCTCTCGTGTCGTGAAGCATTTACCGTCGTGCACATCGACGTGGGCGCGCGTTTCAGGAGGATCACATTGTCGTAGTTCAAAACCTCGAATGATTGTATCTGGTCATCGTTCCTGCATTGCCGTTTGGAACTCATTTGGCAATATCTGTCGGAAAACGTGGAACCCGCACAGCCGAGAAAAAGCGACATATCCATTGTAACGATTCTGCTTTGGTTCGAGATTTGCACGTCCAATAAGCAAATTCATGCACTGTTGCAGGTGCTCCTCCAACCCAGCAAAAGTAACAGCCTCCTCCAAAAGCGTTGCGGGTCCCGGCCACCGACTCCTAATCTCGGCGACTGTCAGCTCCTCGTCGTGGAAGGATCTGTATCTGTCTCATTTCCAAACACGACTGCGTCGGTCCGCACGCCAGTCATGCGTCGTCGGCAGTCCATGTATGGGAATGGGTGAATATTGTTATGTCGCTTATATGTGAATTTGTAGAAATCTACAAAACACAACATCACGGGCATCCATGACCTTAGTACTGTACCTCCACATAACGAAAACGAAAAGAAATTTCACAACGCAAAGCAGGCGAATAAAAAAAAAACTCAAAACATATAACAAACACATGGGAGATGACGATTGCATATGTATACACAAAATGTGCAATATTTCAAACCATCATTTTGTCTCTATCCAACAACGAAGAAACTTAGGGGGAAAAAAAAAAAACGAACGGTACTCATGCAAGGATAAAACATGGCAGAAAAATCCTCGCCATTGGAGACAAAATAAGGCGGTGACACGACCAGCCGCCAGACGCCGTCCCGAGCGACCGTCCTGTAGAGTGTGTATAGTATGCGATGCACAAGGGGGAAGACGATATCATACATCAAATCACCGTCGACCGGTTTTAGAACAAAGGTGTTGAAATACGTGGTCGGCTTAGACATTAGGACACGAACGTGTTCGATAGCGTGGTCACAAATATAAGTCTCTGTAGTGAGCCTGACGACTCGTTCCTCCTCGACGCTCACAACGAAATGACGATCCACCTTCTTGTCTCCATTGCGGTATCCCACTGCATCGCCGACAGGATCTATTATGGGAGTCATTGATTCGTAATAGTATACGATGTCGCTGCCTGTCAGTTTTGAGGTGTGGTAACATCGGACAATCATTGGCGCGCAATGCATCGTCGCTTATTTCGTATGGCGTTCAAAAAGTGCTGCAATTCACATGAAACCGACACCGTAAGTTATAAACCTAACGATCGAGCAACGAATCACGCAAACATGATGTTCTGCATGTACCGCACGGGGAGGGGAAACACACTTTATACATATATATGAGATGAGCGGGTAGTCGCGGTCTCGAACACTGTCGAATGTTAAAAACCTTTACGATTTTGCGAGTCAACCCACCTGTTTGGGACTAAGCATGAGACGACCGGGATGATGGTTCGTTCACACTTTGGTACTGTTGTTAGCAACCGTCCATTGGCAACACAGTGCGCACATCTCCGTGGAGAAAAGTATGGCGTTGCAGCGACCTGTCGAGTTTGGAGAAATACCATGCGTTGGGTGCTAACCTTTCCACATGCTCGACCGCAACGACTGACATGATGAACCTTAGCAAATGACCAATCATATCGACGTCGGGGGGTTCGCAAGCGTCGGGAATGACATCCGAAAGTTTTTTTGTGTGCATTACAACCTTATCAAGGCGATCATGGTCGTCGTACCCCAGTTCGCCACGACCCTCAAAGCGAGGGTGTCATCGATGAACGCGTAGTACACACGTGTTTTCGTGGCGACAACCCCTTCCCAGTTTCAAAGTCTCTTTCGTTTTGAGTATCGCGCTCACACACTGTCTCTCTCACGACGATATCCTTTCCAGCCACAGCCTCTTTGACAACAACAACTACGTCGGCCATGTTATGTCGCAAGGTCGAATAAGTGAACCTGACAATTATGAACTGTCTCAATGGCTGGCCGACGACACTGCGAAAGCTGATGGCAACACAATGCGTACGATAAGCGACGGACACAATGAGTCGAGTGACACGGCTGCAAAAAAAAAATAAAAAAATTATAATAATTACGAACAGTAGTACGTTGGTTGGTTAGTTGGGTGGGTGGGTGGTTGGGCGGTAAGGTTAGGTGGTTGGTTGGGTGGTTGAGCGGATGGATGGGTGGTTGTGTGGCTGGTTGCTTGGTTGGTTGGGTGGTTACGTGGGC